AATGTTTCCTAGTTACCGTTAATAAATGTACCAACAGTATGTGAGCTTCACAATGAACACATCTGTAGTCTCGCGCATCAATTACATCTGGGATTAAGAGAATATGGGAATGTATAAGAAATGACGGATATTGGGAATGTATATAAAATAAGAGAATACAAAAATGTACATTGCACGTGCCATTCGCTAACGTTTGACCGATGTTGTCTTTTATTGCGATGGATTGAAACTTCTCTCCCAGGAGAGGGAAAACAACTCAGAGGTTGGTTACACTGCATTATTTTCTATCTGTTTTTTTTCTATTAAAAAAACCTTTGTTTGCTATGTCATCGTCTAACGCGATGATTCTCAAACGGAAATCAACAAACCCCAGGAGGTGCGCAAAACCATTTTTGGGAGCCTGCAAAAACAATCATTCATAAAATAAAAAATGCATTGTTTTGGAGGCAGACATTGTTCTGTGACATCAGTCCCTTTTGACTTTTGGTATATTTCATAAATTAACAGTCATGCTTGACGTTGTACCTGACATATGTTTTTTTTCCATTAAGATGGTTGCAACGCTTTTGTTGGAGTATTCAACGACCTATGCAAGTGAGCATGCTTTTTCCAGGCTTGCACAGTTGAAGAGCAAGCATATAGTTAGTTTGAAACAAATTTAATGTAGCTGCAAATTGCAGAGCTTATAGAAAACATGTTGAGATTAAATAAGAATAGTGCCTTTTATTGCCAAGAAAAAACAAAAGCACCCATTCCTCATATGCATGCACATTACGTTCATTGATGACCCCCACCCCTATTTTTCTTTTACCTCGCTTCAAGAGGTCCCTCATACCTTCCACTGGTTCCACAAGGGGTCCTATATATACATGGCTGCGAATCACTGGTCTAGTTTGTTCCATATTGTAGATCAGTCTAGCTGTAAGCGTAGACCAAAAGTCAAACGCTCCCTTATGCATCTGTCTCAGGTGACTCGAAGCTGAAAGGTACACCCCTCGTTTTTTATTGATGTGAAGCACATTTTGTTTGGGGCTGGGCCTGTCCTACACCTCACGCGTCCTATCCCCCACTGCGCATAGGCATCCCCTCTCTCTCCACGCCTACGGTTTCCATCTCTCCCGAGTCGGCGGCGAAGGCATCGAGACGCTTCCTCGACACACACGCTCACTTCGTAGCCCTTAATCGTCAGTCTTGGGGCGTTCCACGATTCTGTGAAACAGAGCTCGTCTGCTTTAGTTAGCACGGGATCACGTTCATGGTTTCTGGCGTGTGCGTTGAGGAATGGTCACTGGCAGCGTTCATGGCAACGGCCACCGGCATCAAGCGATGGTCATTAGCCGCGTTAGTCAGGGAGAGGTTCTGAATGTTCGTGCACCTGCTTAAGGCGACGTAGACGAGGTTCTGTAGGTGCCATTACCATCTCCCTGCTCCTTCACATTCTCACATGGTTCCCTTTAGCGAGGAATAGTGTATTTCTTTTATCTGCAGCCGACCGACTTTTGTTCACCATCGAACGTGGTGTTGCAGTTCGTGCGCCCCTCAGACCATAGACGATGTCATATGACAACGTCATCATGTGATGTCTTGTCACGGGACGTCTTAGTGATGTCATCACGTGGTAATTTCTGGCATTACTCGTGCTAACGCCGATGGTCTCGTTTCGTGCTTGTTGAGCGGTCTATAATGCATTCTGTTTAATAAATAGCATTACTGATGAGCACTGAGAACCCGGCAAGCTGAAATAGTTTTAAGATAACAAATGCAACTTAGATCTCCTGTCTGGTGCTCCTTTCTAATGTAACGCGGTCGTTTCGGCTCGGTGGTGTGAATGTAGAACATAATGCATGACGGCGCTTAAGAACACGGGCAAAGAAGGAAACACGACCGTCAAGTGTGCACCCTTTTCTTGTCCGTATTTTTGATCGCAGCCATGGATTACGCCCCTTTCTAGTCAAAATGACCGCAGTGTGTTTCCGAGAATTGATAATCGCGTTTCTCGTAGGCATTCCACAGCCAACTGTGACGTGGTGGCGAAACGGCACGAAGCAATTGCACCATACAATCGACAGCTCATCGCACGGCGTCACTAGATCGACACTGGAGCTGCCTCTACTGCACCGGCATGACCTGAACATTTCGCTTTTGTGCAAGGCTACCAACCACAACGAAACCTACGTGGTCACAACCAGTGTCATGATCGACCTTTACCGTAAGTGTGCCCGCATATTTTGATTGATTGATTGATTTTTGGGGTTTAACGTCCTAAAACCACTATTTGATTATTAGAGACGCCGTAGTGGAGGGCTCCGCAAATTTTGACCACCTGGGGTTCTTTAACGTGCACCCAAATCTCAGTACACGGGCCTACAACATTTCCGCCTCCATCGGAAATGCAGCCGCCACAGCCGGGATTTAATCCCGTGACCTGCGGGTCAGCAGCCGAGTACCTTAGCCATTAGACCACCGTGGCGGGGCGTGCCCACATATTTTAAGACACATTATTTTCATACTCATCAGTAAAATTGTCTCAGCTAAGCGAATGCGTGCTTTATCAAGAAATGCACGCCATCACTGTGACGAGGATATGCTATATTCTTATCATTATAGCGACAACAGCAGCGATAATAATAATAATAATAATAATAATAATAATAATAATAATAATAATAATAATAATAATAATAATAATAATAATAATAATAAAGCATCTGAGGTTTTACAGCCTGAAGCAATATCATGACTATAAGGCACACCACAGTGGAGGCAACTAAAAATTTCAAGCATCTCTCGTTCTTTCAAGTGCACTGGCATCGCAAAATATAGGGGCCTTTTTTCCCTAGTTTCAGTAGCATGCATATGTACATTACCCCTTTCGTATTTTTAGTTAGCGCCTTCTCTTCCCTGCGAGTGTGAGCAAGTGTAAGTAAAGCGTTTAATTACGGCGCTTGCGTCTTGTGCTACCATGACAGTTCGTTCCCACATGCACCGCAAAAAGGTCGTTCTAGACCGTGTCAGTCTTTCGGCAACAGTGTGTTGTGCTACGGAACGCCGCAGTGACAAGAATTAATATTCGCCCGAGGCACCTTGCGGTGTTGACGTGCGCTCTCCCCAAAGAACGCAGGGCGCTACATTCGTTTCTTTCCGGGAGCGATATTAGTGACGTCAACAACAATCTGCACGGAAGCGAAGAATCGTATACGGGAAATGACGCCATCTCAGCCTTCGCGGGAAAAAAAAGAGCAAGGCTTTCGTATAAGAGTACGAGACCGCTGAAGTGATTTCTGACGTGAGCCGCTCCTGTTGTGTCGACGTTTATCCATATCGCGTCTCTTCCCGGGAGGGGGCTAACGTGCGACAGCTGCGAGCGCACTGCGACAGCCGAGCTTCAGTTATTTGCAGGGAGTGGTCCCCGATTCCCTTCTTCCTGTCTGCCGGCACGCCTCTTCTCCGCGACTTTGTACGTTCCTTTGCTCCCTCGGTGTAAGAGCGTAATTTAAGCTCCCACTGCAATCATCTCAGCGGTCACCCACCCTTCTAATGCAGCCGAAAGTAGTGTGAGGGTATGGTAAATGGAAGGATAGAGAGGAAAGGCTGTAGTCGAGACAAATGCGTCTGTATGTTGACGTACCCATGAAACAGTGCAAGAAAAATGTAGAAAATGGCATTCACGCAAAAATTAAGAAGAGTAACGAAAGGTGTTGGCTAGCACGAGGTAAAAGGGAAAAGGTGGGGAAAGTACCATTGATATCGTTGTAGGTGGTACCTGCGAACGCGAGCTGAGCCCAAAATTGTGGGCGACGTCCATTATGTATACACCGAGGGCATATGCAAAATAAAAAAAAAGACGGTCGCAATCGGAGCCCACCGGCTCGTACTACCCGACAGTGGTAATGAAACTCGATGAAAAAGGGAAGTTGGGTGCCCGTCCACATCGGTATATAGACATGAAGCCGACGCGCCCGATATTACTATTCACGGCGAATGGTACGAGCAGCCCGTGCGTGCAGGTCATTGAGCGCGCACTTTTTCTTTTTTTATATTACCTTGTTTCACACGGCGCTATTTGTTTCGGGACAGAAACGACTGGCGTCAAGCGTTTTGTGATGCTTTGTGCTTGAACGATATCGTTCGCGTGCGAATGATCGCTTTGTGTACTACAAAGTAATACAGCTGAAGAGCTTGCGAGCCTCGCTATTGACTGCTGCCTCGCACATATGAAGAGGTTCGCGTGATAGTTGTGCGTCCAGTTTGTTTTGGAGATGACTTACGATATCAAGTCAGGGTCGTTGACGCTTTTCAGCATTTACCGTCCTCGAGAGTTAACAGTCATTGTTAGCTTGTTTTAACTTTTACCTCGGGAACATTTGCGACATCAATGACTGCGGTTTCATGACAAGACGTGCAAGCCCACTTGCCTCCTGTTCGAGTTTGCGAATAATTTGAGCGCGTCTAAACTCGAGCAGAGACCATGTGGCACTAGTCATTGGCCGTAATATAATGCCACAGAGCACATGGGCTCTCAATCGACGTCGGCGACAGCTGTACAGAAGTTCTGGCGGAGAACTAGTAAAACACATAACGCATCCATGAACTTGTGTTCATATGTAAACAAATGTGCGAAGCAAGTATAAAGAAAACACACAAAGGGCACCTATTTCTAGCCAACGACCTATTTGCGAGAAATAGTTGCTCAAAAGATTTCTTGTGGAATCTCAGCTGTGGTGGTCCCATTTCGGTAATGATGAATTTTATAGAAGGCCGCGTAAAGAGATCAGGTGGTCTAAATTTCCCAAGCCCACCAGTAGGGCATGCCTGATAAGCATATCGCGATATCAGGACATGTATTCTGAAAAAAAAATTGTATTTATTATTAGCTACCCAGGAGAGCGTTTTAGTAGTGTCGCTGTCCATATTCCTCACTGACATTTACCATGAATCTCATTAACGAGTAAAGATGGTTATTCTCTCTTTTTCTACGTGACCATTGCTAATTGTTACAGTGAAGCCATCCATGGTTCGCATCCGCTCAAAGCAGCGTCCGTTGGCAGCCGGTCTGCCAGCAGAAATTGAGTGCGAAGCTGCCGGTTCTCGCCCCGCACCGACGATAACATGGTGGTGCGGAAAGGCCAAGATAGCCGACGACAACGTAAAGGTAAGTCTGCGCGCTGCGTTGTAGTGTATCCTCTACTGTTCACTGTTTGTTCGTTGTTGTGGCATCGCCGTAAATCTTTGAAGGTGTTTGCAGCACTAACAATAAATAAAAACGAGAGCTTTGACCTAAAGAAATAAAAAGCAGATTGAACGGCTTTTATAAAGAAACGTAACATATTTTCTCTTGATACAATCTGCAAAGAATTCTGGGTCGCCGGAAACTCCAAGAGCATATTTTTTCTGCAACTACACTTGAAGCTTGGGAGAACAAAGAGCTGAGCTACAAGATGACTGGGTGTACAAACACACAAACAACAAAGAAGTGTCTCCTTGTACGCCCAGTCTTTATTATAATGTGCTGTAAAAAATCGATCGCAACCCACTGAGGTTGTTGAGTGGTCATGGTGTTGACTGTGGACCCACAGTCCACGGCGGTCGCAATTTGGCCTCCACCGAAGAGAGTGTACTTAGATTTAGGTACACGTTAAAGAACCACAGGAGAGCGAAATTTCCGGAGCTCTCCTTTACGGCATCTCAGAACATCAGATTGCGCTTCTAGGGCATTGAATCCAGCCAATTATTAATAAATATTCAATTGTGGTGTCTTCTCACTTACAAGTCACAGTTTTGGCACAAGGCCGAAGTAATGAAAGCGATAGCAAGGCGTCAGGCGGTTCTTCGAAGTAATTGGATGTTTTCCGGCGCAAGCTGTTAAAACGTCACCCCAAAATATCTGGGGAAGTGAGTAGAGTTTGTCCGCCTAGAGTGATAGTGGCTGTGCGCATTTCGATGGGAACTGAAGTCACAAGTATAAAAGGACCATCAACTTCCCGAATAGACCTGTATTGATGCGAAAAATTGTTCCTGTTGCTCCAGAGTGAAAGTCGAGCCAGAGGCATTTTGAAATGCCATTTTCATTCAAACGTATGTGCTTCAGTGAACCCACACATCCATTGATTAAGCCATTGGCCACGTCAATGTTAAGGGAAACATGTATGGCTTGCCCAAAGAAGTGTATGCTTTGTTCAAGAGTGTTTTTTTTTTTTCAATGCATTGACAATGAGCCAGTGGTAAACGGTGTATATACATAGCTTGCCGTTGGTGAGATGAATAGTTTGAACAGCGTGGTCAAGTTTGTTAATGCAGCGTGCTGAGAAGTGAGTGGTCGCTGGTTCGAATCACCGGTCGGTGCCTTGGAATATTTTCCTTCCCAATCATTCTTCTTTGTGCATTTTATAAAAATCATACATACATATGCTTATGCGGGCATGACGATGACGTCTACAGTAAACAGCAGCCGATATTGTCCATACATATTGCTGTCGCAATAAAAGACTTCCCTCAGTAAGCACTTGTAGACGAAACAGCTACGAACGTGGCTATGAGTTGAACCAGAACAAGAAGCTCTAAGATTACACTACATAACTTAATTAAACATCATGTTTAACACCACCGACAAAGATGAAAGTCGCGGTAGACTTGCCTGCATTTCGTCAAAGGTTTGCAGACAACTCATATTCATAGACATACGACCCAAATCGCATTGCCCGAACCCGTATCCTATCGTGTCAAAATGGCTTATTAAGCGAGTTTTTAGGTCACATGCTTCAATTTAAAGTACCGGACATATCTCTCGCACAAAAACGTAGTCAGCTTACTTATTTTTCTACACTTCAAGAAAGAGAAGAGTACCCAATAATCTTGTCACACACGCAACTATGTTAAAACACGCAAGTTAACTATTTTTAGAAGGGTCTGTTGTGTCGTAGCTGGTTGAGAGTCGCGTATTGGCAAAAGAGAGCTCATGTGTTAACAAAAAAGAGAGATTTGTACATAGTAAGTGACAAATCAGGACTATACAGAAAAAAATACGAGCACTTTTTTACTTTTAAGATTTAGGACCTCAAAAACACATAAACATGCAACTTTTTTGTATGTTTGTGTGTGTTTTTGATTTGTGCTGAAGTGTTTCTTTATGAACACCCTGAAAAATTCGGAATGTGCAGTCACTTGCACAATGTTAATTACTTTGTTTCTGCAAGGCCGGTGTTCAAGAGAAACAAATACCCAAAGCAGCGCTTTTTCCTTTTTGTACTGCATTGAGTAGTGTGGAAACGAGATACGTGAACACTATTGGTAATTATATGCACGTACAAGTACGGGCCTCTCGCAGAGGTCTAAATTGTGTGAATCTTTCTTATTTGTTGTTTACACAGGTGATGCTCATCGGAAATCGTGTTTTCTCGGTGGTAACGTACACACCCAGAAGGGAAGACAATGAAAAACTGCTCCGGTGCGTTGCCGAAAATCCCAGCATCGCAGGAAGCTTTCTCGAAGCCACTTACAGCCTGGACGTACATTGTAAGATCACTTACTTGGAATTCTATGTGTGTGTGTGTGTGTGTGTGTGTGTGTGTGTGTGTGTGTGTGTGTGTGTTTGTGTGTGTGTGTGTGTGTGTGTGTGTGTGCGTGTGTGCGTGTGCGTGTGTGTGTGTGTTTGCGTGCGTGTGTGTGCGTTTGCGTGCGTGTGTGTTTGTGTGTGTGTGTGTGTTTGCGTGCGTGTGTGTGTGTGTGCGCGCGTGCGTGTGTGTGTGTGCGTGCGTGTGTGTGTGTGTGCGTGCGTGCGTGTGTGTGTGCGTGTGCGTGTGTGTGTGTGTGTGTGTGTGTGTGTGTGTGTGTGTGCGCGTGTGTGTATGTGTGTGAGTGAGAGAGAGAGAGCTTCACTGGATGAGTGAGGGAATATGTTTTACGCATAGAAATAACACGTTCAATAACAGAGAGCTGACCTAGTTGGCAGGCATTGAGGTTTAAAAGACAATGCGTGCAACCATGGACAAAAGAGAGAAGTCGGCGTTTGTGTTGCCGCGACTTCACTATTATGTTCGTGCTTGCAAGCCCTGTCTCTAGAATTAAGTCTCTAAACTTCTAAGCCTCCCATTTTGTTATTATATTAACCACATTACCTAATAGAGGATGGAGAGCTGATTCGGGCGTCATTTGAAATTTCTCACAGGTGCGCATATTGTAACGATTCTGTTGTCACACTAACGCCTACTTTTTGTATTGACGCAGACAAGCCCATTGTAACCCTTCAGCTGGGAAAGCGGTTGCGGCTAGAAGAGATCTTCGAGGGGCAAGACGTGTACCTGGAGTGCAGCATCGACGCCAATCCGCGTGTGAGTGAAGTCACGTGGCACTTCGAAAACAGTCAGGAGGTCCACTCGGACCCAGCCGCCAAAGTAATCACCAGCAGCCAGTCGCTCGTGTTCCAGGCCATCCAGCGTCTGAACGCTGGACGCTACACCTGCGTCGCCATTAACACCGAGGGCGAGTCAGTCAGCAACGAGCTCCATTTGAGGGTGAAATGTAAGTGGCTTGTAGCTATTTGTGTTATCCACGCAGCAATCTAATGTGCGAGTCAAATGTATACACATCCCTTGTGCGTGTATTAGTCGATGAAACAGCGTTCATCAGAAGAACATCCCTATTTGTAGATGTCTATTAAGGTTATTAAGTCACACTACTACACACAATCAAGACTGTGTAAGGAGATAAACAGTACGCTGTAGTGGGCAATCTCTTTAGCTAGAAGACTCGAGCGTGAGCTGTTAGCTCTAACGCTGTGATTCCTGTGTCGGTCGTTGTCGCCCGCTTTCAGTATTAATAGACCTGTTGTGCAGGTGCTGTTTAAACCAATAAACCCCGTTTCAGAGGGGTAGAAATGTGGGGCAACTCAAACTGGAACTCCGCAACAGAAAACTACCTGTCCCCCGCCCCCCCTTCCAGAAATGGCTGACAAAACACCCAGCAAGGTATGGCCCAGCCTCCGATGGTCATCGTGCCCACCGCGCTATACGTGTGCGCGATCCATCTTTTTTTGACGGTACCGATGAACGAGACATTGAAGATTGGCTGTCGACATTTGAATAGGTAGGCGCGAGCAACAAGTGGGACGACCCTTCGAAGCTGCAATATGTGCCCTTCTACCTGAAAGAGGTAGTGAGTATCTGGTTTAACAACCACCACTCGAAATTTGCCACTAAGGTGCGCTTTCAAGCTACGCATTGCCGATAAGTTCGGTCGGCCCGAGGTACGCCATCTCCGTGCTGAACAGCGCCTACGGGGACGCGCACAGCTTCAGGAGGAAGACTTCACAAGCTACATCGAGGACGTGCTCGATTTGTGAAAGCACCTTGACCTATATATGATAGAAGCAGACAAGTACCAGACACATCTTGAAGGAGATAGACCACGACACTTTCCAGATGCTGCTGTGCGAGGGCCCGCAGACCATGTCCGAAATCGCCGCTCTTTGCCAGAGCATTGAGGAGTGTAAACAACGGGTCATGACAACGCGGCCAGCGGCTACCGACGAAACTCTCACAGCACTAACCCTCGGAGGAGACCACTACACGTTAATGGCGGAAAGGGAACAATATGTGCGCGATGAGATGGCCAGACAACTTTCCTGCCTGTCGTATCTACCAACAACTGAAACCTATTGTGAGTGTCTTGCGCCCGCCATCAGGCAGGTAATACAGGGGCAGGTCACCGAGGCACTGCTGTCCGCCTCTCAGACAACACCTGTCGCCGCGCCATTGACTTACGCTGTTCTTGCTGCTAGCCCACCACGACCTCTATCTACTCTTCTCGACATCTCAACCGGTGCGAGTACCAGCGATACATAGTACACCGTGGTCTTTAGGCAACCCTCGGCGTAGAGCTGATAACCGCCCCATCTGCTACGCATGCGGGTACCCAGGCCATATCGTGCGCTTCTGTCTACGGCGCTTCGCAGCGACTCGGCCGGCGCCAAGATACTCTGACTACTACTTCCGGGTACTGTACGACGCGCGACGAAACCCACCGGCCCAACATGAGCGACTACCAGGTGAACGTGAACTGCTACCAGTTGAACGAGACTGCCAACCTGCTCCAGATTACCGACCCATGCCACCACGTCGCTTATCCTCTCCACGCTGCCGTTCTCTGTCACCTCTGCGTCCCCGACAAGGACAGGAAACTGACTACCGCAGCTCCGTAGGCACGAGCTGCGTCGTCGTCACAATGTGTAAGTCTTCGCCTGTCCCCCTACAACGTTGTGGAAGTGCTTGCCGAAGGTTTACGAACTCTCGCTCTTGTTGATATCGGAGCTGCCATTTCTGCCAAGAGCCGAAAACTTTGCCACTCTTTACGAAAGGCCACGACACCGCCATCCGGTTTTTCGCTTAGTATAGCGAGCGAGCATCAAGTTTGACCAGTTTCAGCATGTACGGCTAGAGTCATCATTCAGATCATTTTGTACCACTTCAAGTTTCTAGTGTCGCGCCACCACGCCGTAATTGACTGCACTCGCTCTCAGGTGAAACGTTCTGTGTTCGCCGATGCCCCGTCTGCCAACACTGACCGACTTAGCGTTGGCAAGCTTCGTGTGGCCACTGACGCTGACGTTCATCTTCTTAGTGCCGTCATTGTCCCTGTCGACAGAACTGACTTTATAACACTACGGTTCTGTTCACGCCATCTGCCATTTTCAGTCGTCGGCAGGGTACGTGTCTGCCATATGTCATTCTGCCGCCAAATGAAGATGTGACTGGAATAGTTGTTTACAATCCCAGATTATGTCCTCTCACCTTACACCTTCACGAGACACTTGGTCACGTTCACCCAGTAGACGAACGCTCTATCGTGCCTATTGAACCCCATGACATTGGCCCAAAACTTCAGTTGGATGCTGTAACGCCTAGTTTCAATCCGGATGACGTCTCTCCGGATGTATTCAACCGTTCCATCGACAGCGAGCTCCCTCAGGATTAACGGGCACAACCTATAGCGCTTCTTCAGGTGTTTAGACATTCACTCGACTTTCCGCAGAAGCCACTGAGCCAAATCAAAACCGTCACTCACAGTATCGACACGGGAACGCATACTTCCTCGCGACACCACTCCTACCGTGTATCAGCAACAGAACGCAAAATCATTGCGAAACAAACGAGTAACATGTTTCGCCACAGTGTTGCCATGCCCTCCTCAAGTCTCTGGTCTTCGCCTGTAGTGCTTGTCAGAAAAAAAAGATGGTTAAACTAGATTTTGTGTGAATTACAGACGCCTCAAAAAGATTACACGGAAAAATGTCTACCCTCTTCCTGCATCGATGACGCCATCGATTGACTACACGGGATCGAATATTTTTCGTCATTGGATTTGCGCTCAAGATATTGGCAAGTGCCGTTTGCAGAACGTGACGTAAAACAGCGTTCGTCACGCCAGATCGCCTATATGAATTCACAGTAATGCCATTCGGTCTGTGCAATGCGCCTGCCACATTTTAGCGCACGATTGACAGCATTCTACGTGGTCTGAAGTGGCAAACATGTTTATGTTACCTGGATGACGTTGTCGTGTTCTCCCTAGATTTTACTACCCACGTCGCCCGTTTGCGCACAATTCTTCAGTACCTCAACAAGGTGAACCTTCAGCTTAATTTGAGGAAGTGCTGCTCCGGGGCGCGCCAACTCGTTATACTTGGCCATGTCGCTTTAAAGGATAGAATACGTCCATACCCTGTAAAACTTCGTGCAGCCGCCGAGTTTCCGAAACCGACAACACTCAAATAACTGCGGGGCGTCAGATTGTGCACCCATTTTCGTCGTTTCGGCCGTAACTTTGCATCAGTCATAGTACCGCTCACGAAACTACTCGCTCCGCCTGCCAGCCTTTCTAATTGGACCCAAGCATGCAATGACGCTTTCGACACATTGCGCCGCCTGCTCACATTACGCCATTATGATCCAACAGCCCCGACAAAAGTGCACAATGACGCTGGTGGCGTCGGCCTCGGCACAGTACTCGCGCAACGTAAGCATGATATTCCAGAATACGTCCTCGCATATGCTAGTCACACACTCACAAAAGTGGAAGCCAACTACTTCACCGACAAAGAGTGCATCGCAATTGTGTGGGTGGGTAGGTAGGTAGGTAATAAACTTTATTAGCATAAAACAAGGAAAACTGGCCCGGGCTAGGCCTCCAGGAGCTGTCGTCCGCTGAGCATAGTGTGATGTCTTCGGCGATAGGCCTGGCTCGCTGGACAGCTAAGTTGGTCCACTGCACGTGGGCTGAGAAAGGCGGCTCACCACCACTCAGCCAGTCGTCCTGGGGTACACTCACGCTCGTCCGAGAAGTGGCGGCGAACACTGCACTCACACTCCCAAAGTATATGCGCCATGTCGGCTGTCTAGTGCCCGCACCATGGACAGCCGGGTGATAGGTGCAGCAAGGGACACAGTATATGCAGGTGTTGGGGATTATCAAATGTGTCGGTCTGCAGACGCCTCAGATCAGACGGCTGAGATCTTTCTAGCTGCAATCGGGGTGTTGGGTAACGTCGTCGCGTTTTTCTGTAACGATTTAGGATCTCGTGGAAAGTAACCATGATGTCCTTGCAGTCCTGTAAGGCCTCAAGGTCTGTTATTGTCGTCGTAGAGGTATTATGTCCTCCGACCTCAGGTGCCTCGCCATCGTCAAGGTGTCGCACATCGGCGGCCCTTTCGTCCGCGTCGCGGCAGGTTAGCAGTCTCGCGACGAAATGGGTGCGCTCGTTGTGGTTCGACGGGAGGTCAGATCTTTGGTCGCTGCCAAGCTCTCCCACGTGCGCGGGGAAACACTTGAGAGACTTGGCAGCAATCGCACCAGACTTGAAATCGTTGAGTTTTATGGCGCAAAAGCAACAATGGCTATGAAATCTTCAGCTCTTGCGTTTAGCATTTGCGCTGCCTCAACAGATACCCATCCCTTCGTAAAGTTTCGGACCACCGTCTTGGCTTTGATGTCCCAAAACCACCATATGATTATGAGAGACGCCGTAGTGGAGGGCTCCGGAAATTTTGACCATCTGGGGTTCTTTAACGTGCACCCAAATCTGAGCACACGGGCCAACGACATTTCCGCCTCCATCGGAAATGTAGCCGCCACAGCCGGGATTTGAACCCGCGACCTGCGGGTCAGCAGCCAAGTACCTTAGCCACTAGACCACGGCGGCGGGGGCCACCGTCTTGGCGTCACTCACGATAAGAGTGTCCTCACTCGTTTCCACTATGAATGATTGCGAGGGCTATGGCCATTTCTTGTGCCACCTCAGACGATGGGGCGTTAAGCAAGTTTCGTCCTTACTTGTACGGAAAGACTTTCGACGTCTTCACCAGCCATCACGCACTCTGTTCGTTAGCTTCTGTAAAGGACCATTCTGGCCGTCTTGAACGTTTGGCACTGTGCCTCGAAGAATTGACTTTCGCGTCACCTACCGATCTGGGCGAAAACATTCTGACGCGGACGCGCTCTCTCGATCACCAGTGCCATCCAGCGAA